ATGACACAATATTTGAAGTTGTTTTTTAGCCTGCATATGCATAGCAGGTATTAGACAGCAGAGGGGGAAGTAGAGCTGGGATGAAAGGAGGGGGGAACTCCCTTACATCTTTTTCATCTGCTACCCCTTTCCTGTTTATGCCTGCAAGGCATTGCTAGTCATTTTCTGATCGCTTTTACATTGAAGGAACCCTCAAAATAATAGTTCCTGAATGTAGAATAACATTTACAGGGTTCGTACCCTTTTTCAGAAACAAATTTCCAGGACTTTTCCAGGACTCAGATTGATTTTTCCAGGACTCTAAAATTTACATTAACCCTTTCACTCCCAAGATCTCAATTTTAATTCTCCTTGTTGTGTGCCATACATTTCATATTTTTTACTTGCGTTTAACAGATTTCCAGCACTTTCCAGGACCAGTGGCCCTTTTCCAGGACTTCCCAGTCCTGGAAAATGCCACAGTAAAATTCCAGGACTTTCCAGGTTTTCCAGGACCCGTATGAACCCTGCATTTAAGAAGTACAGTGGAATCCTGATTTTTTGAACCTCCAAGAGAAACAAAAATTGGTTCAAAAAATCAGATAGTTTGAGAAATTGGGGGTAAAATTACAGTTTTTGACTGTGGGGAGAGGGAACAAGGTTTGGTTTGAGTTATCGGGAGGTTAAAAAAATTGAGCATTGAGAAATCAGGATTCCTCTCTAATGATAAATCAATAGTAAACAAGGTGGCTACAAATAAGAGAGATTTAGATTTTATCATGCTTCAAAAAAGACTTAAGGTTGTCTGTCTGTCAGACAGACATGAAAAAAATTGGCCATTTGGAGATGTCCCCCCTTTTAAAGACATTCACACCCATTGTAACTGCGCATCTTTCACTACCACGCACATAATTGATGAGGCAATGTCATGCATGTCACATCAGGCACAAGCCAAGGAAGAAATATAAGCAAGTGTAAGGCTTGGCACTGGGGGAGGGCAGGTTTACTCTCCTAAATGGTTGGTGACCTCCTCTTTTCTTTTCATAGAACACTTCCTTTACCGATTTTCTCCATTTTAGCAAAAAACAGATGTAATTTGAACAAAAGAAGTTACAAATTTTTGCCTTTTCTGCTCTCATGAGACCAAGGTTTTCTGCAAGTGTGGATGGCCTAAGCTAGTAATCTTTTAAGGCCTAATCTACCTAATATTGGGTAGAGTGTATGACGTCAAATGTCTTTTCATTTGAATACATTAAACATTTTTCAAACTTAAATGTCTCTGGAACTAATGCAAAAAATTTGTAAATGGTAAATGGTGTTAATATTTCATGGAATTTTAGCCTAGCCTACATTTGGAGGGTGACAACTTGTAACTAGATGGGTCATACTACATGTGGGCCAGTCCAAGGCAGGAGAAAAAAGAATGTCAAATATTTACACCCGCTTTCAGTGTTACGTGCATAGGCGACATCTTTCGACCATCTCTCTACATTCCATCTTTCGACATGCTATGTAAACGGCTGAAAGACCGTTTACCTGTGAAACTAGCAATTTTCCCAGTTATTAGCGGAACAAATGACAAGTATATGATAATTACTGACCTCAAATGAATGAAGATTGTGGAATTCCGATTTATGGGATAATTCAAACGATTTTAGTGTAGTCGATCGGCTCTCAATAGTGACTTCTGGTGGAATTGAGCCGCTACCGCTCAGTTAATGTTTGAAAGAGGTAAACATTCAAAACAGTCGATTTATCCCTCACAGAAT